AAAATTTCTAAAGGATCTCTCCCTAATAAGCTCCACTAATAGTGAAAAGAAAACACCCATCAGCCAAATTTGAGAACTCAACATCTCACATCTTTACTCAAGTCACAGAGGAAAAAAAATGGACAGGAAAACTTCATCCTGGTTATTGTACACCAGTGTCAATTAAAATATATAGCGGTAGTATATCAGCTTAATAACATCTCAACTCAAAGTATCAAATACATAGATATATCATAGAGACAAAATAAGAGAAGTTCCACCTCTTGATTGGCAGCAACAAGCAAGCGAACACAGTCAATTTCATTAAGATGGAGATCATCACTGAGTTTAAGCGCCTGAAATTTCAGCAAGTGGGCAATATTAACCAAAAGGCTGAAGCAGAACATTGAAGACAAGAAATATAGAGCAGCAAGTACATAAAAATTTTTTTATTTTTTTTTTGGAGAAAGAGAGCAAGACCTATAACACCAATCCTTAAGTTGCAAGAAGTCTACCAATAAGAATAACCAAAGACATGCATGAAGACAAACTGTAGAAAATCCACCAAAGAATTAGACAACCAAATAGTAACCCTTTGGCTAAAAAACAACCAAAAGCAGGCAAATTTCATCAATGACATCTGCAAAGTGCTTTTTCATTTGTCACAGAAGCAATTACTGATGTCAAGAAACTGATATCTTTTCCTTCAACTTCCCTTAAAGACAGAAAATTCGCAATTAGCACTGAGCTAATACTCTCAAATTTAGGGCCAGGTAATTGGCTACAACCAACTGTATGGTGGTTTCAGAGGACATGTAACAGGAACCCAGACAGAGAAAAGGTGTCACTTTTGGAGGATCAGAAGAAACAGAGGTCTCCATAAAGCTCAGGGGATATTATTTACAAGCATATAAAACCTGACAACATACTATATCTTCAGGAAGTGTCCAACCACAGAAATATTTGGAAGAAGATTAAGTGAGGGGCCAAATTGTTTGTCTAGCTGGGAATAGATAAGCTACACAAAAGATAAGGAAACTGAGTTAAATCAGGTCTTGCAGGGAAGTGATCAGTAGAGAAACAATAAGCCTTACGTATGAATTGGAGGATAAAGAGCAACAAAAGGCAAAAATACCTAAAGAATAGCAGTGTGAAACTTCCAGAAATTACTCATTCAAAAGTGTCTAGACCGAAAGACTTGAGGTTGGAAAACCCCTGCACTCTTAATTTCACAGAGAGAAAGCTTAAAATACATGGAAACCTGTTCACAAAGGATTGCTTACAGTTCTCAACTCAATATTAACAAGAAATGCAGTAAAGTTGAAACAAGAACCTACAACAGATGAGCATGTGCGAAGCCGTAACCTTTTCGAATCACCATATATGATGTCTCGTACAAAAAGTAATACTGATTAGGCATGTATCACTGGGCAATAATAAACCTTGGAACATTGTAGGGTAGAACCATGGAAGCTAAATCAGAACATCAGAACTTCACGACAGCCAATTTGTAACTGTCGTCTATTTCAAGTTCTAATAAAACGACCTTGCGCAAGAAACATAAAAAAAGAAACCAATATTAGCAGTAATTAGCTCGAAATTAAGTTGTTGAAAGAGGAACTAACAATCTGGACATCTTCATCATCCAGCGTAATTGATCCAGAATTTGGCAGCCTGACTTCCTTAGAATGCACCTGAGCTCGGTCCGATGGTTTTGGAGGCTAAACGTCCAAAAATGCACCAAAGAAAAAGGAAAATTAAAAAAAAAGTTACAAAAAGTAGAACTGAATATGCTAACTGAAAGGTTTTCTTGTGAGGTTCTTGTGATTAGTAATGGACTGACAGGATAAGAAAGCAAGTTGCGGAGAGAGGGAAGAGATTGGCGAATGGCATGGATGAGTTCTACTCTCTGTGCCGGCGTCGGAGGGTTTGGGCCAAGCAGCGACTCTTCCACCGTCGATAAAAGCTGCTTCGGCGACACCATTGTTAAACTGTAATTCTTCAATTAGCAGTGAACTCCAATGGATCTCTCGGAAGAATGTGAAGAAAAAGAGAAATAAGAGTGACTAAGGAAATAGTGAAAATTGAGAGCGAAGCAGACAAAAGAAGTGCAAATTTTCGAGGAGAGAGAAAAAAGAAGCGAGAGATTGGGCGGGAAAAGCCCTAAAAGAGAAGGCGTCCGCTGGTTCCGTGGCCTTCTGGAGTCGGTGTCTTAACGGCCCGCTTTATGACATTACTTACGCGTGGTTATTACGCTTTTACTTACTGGGCCTTCAATTTGGAAACCACGGAACTAAGTTATGGATCCACAAGCAAGGAGTTTGAGCCCAAACAGTCATTGCGCCTGGAATACGCTGGAATTTTAAACACAAAGCCTAATAGAAAGAGGGCGTCTAGCCCACTGAATCACGCAACAAATATGTACGAAAAGGCTTTTTCAGGTCCAGGTCCTTTTTAGAGTGTTTGGATTATAAATTATTTGAGATATTTTTACTGTAATACTTTTTACAGTGTGATGTGTATGAAATAAAAAATAATTAAAAAAATAAAAATGTGCATTAAAAATTATAATAATAATGTAAGCAAATATATTTGGATAAATAATCTCCTATCCAAATACATAGTTATCATTTCGCTAGAGTATCATATGCTGAGAATTTGGGACTGCAATCCACCTTTTCAGAAGATTTCAATGTAAATTATGTAATGATCGACTTAATTCTTGGGCGAATGGAGGGGAGAGTTGCGCTGAGAAAGACAGGTAAGGAAAAAGAAAAACACAAACAAGGACCAAATTTTGTGCTGAGCTGAGTCCTCTTCGAACCCCCTCCAATCATACGGACAAAGAGATTCCAAGTAAATACACCTGCTAAAAGGTTGGAGATTCCAAGTAAATACACATTCCAAGTATTTTTCTTCTTCACTAGCTTAAATTGTGAAGTTTCTAGGCCCATAATTTTCAATGGAAGTAACAAATAGGTACATGGTCATTAAACATAACATTGATGGAGAACCACAAGAGTCTGATTTTGAGCTCAAGTCTGAAGGTTTTTCTTCATCAATGAAGCCAGGAAAAAACGGATGTTATCGTGAAAAATCTTTACTTATCAATTGATCCGTACCAATTCAACCGCATGAAGAACCAATCTCCCTCTGAGCGAGCCATAAATTTTGCGGGCGATGTTATCCCTGGCAAGGTAAGTTGCATTCTTAGTTGTATTGATTAATGGCATCTCCGTGAAGATATGATTGCATTTTCATCTAGTAGCAGTACTAATTCTCGTAGAATTTGTTTTTGCGTCCATAGTGCATTGATGGTTATGGTGTTGGGAGAGTCGTTCTTTCTGGGAACCCTGAGAAGGATGACTTGGTTTTTCCTGTGCTGGGGAGAGTACAGCATAATAGAAGAGGGTGGTGCCATGTTAAGCAAGGTGAATACAATGGGATTTCCGATTTCTTACAATGTAGGAATTCTAGGTACATTGTCATCGTTTCTTCATTCTAGAGGACAGAAATTGTAGTATCAGGCTAAAACCAGGATTCATGAAAACTTTTGAGCATTTGTTAATCCATGTTTGTAAATCAGGATTCGGTGGCCTTACTGCTTATGCTGGATTTTTCGAGTTGTGTAAGCCAAAGAAAGGGGAAAAAGTATTTGTCTCTGCTGCTTCAGGATCGATAGGAAATTTAGTGGGACGGCATGCGAAGCTCATCGGTTGCTGTGTTGTAGGCAGTGCTGGAAGCTCAGAAAAGGTCTAGCTAGCATCTCTTCTGCTCCATGTCGTCAATTGTTGGTAATATCCCTATTCGTTTCTGTACTATTCTTTATGGATATAACGCATCCCTGTTACCTTGAGTGGATAGCAGGTAGATTTGCTCAAGAATAAGCTTGGTTTTGACGAGGCTTTCAACTACAAAGAAGAAACTGATCTTAAGTCGACTCTGAAGAGGTAATTCATCTCCATTTCCTGAATGTGAGAAGTTTGAGTGCTTTCAGAATTTTACCAAAATCTCACCTGATATTTTGTAAATTGGAGTCGGGATTTTCCAAACAAAGATGTTAAATTATGATACTTGCTAATGCGTCTCAATTTTATTACAGTATTACTGCAGGTACTTTCCAGATGGGATTGACATTTATTTTGATAACGTGGGAGCAGAGATGCTAGAAGCAGCAGTGGATAACACGAATGCCTTTGGTAGATCGCTGCGTGTGGTGTTATAGCTGAATATACGGACAAACGAAGACGTGCTGCTCTGAACATGGTAGATGTTGTGTACAAGAGGATTAAGACTCAAGGATTTTTAGTTGGCGATCACCTCAATATCTATCGGGATTTCCTTTCAGCCACACTTGAGTCCCTCCAAACTGGGAAAATGCATGTCCTTGAAGACATTTCACATGGTGTGGAAGGCATACCATCTGCATTTGCAGGACTTTTTTGATGGGATAATGTTGGGAAAAGAATGGTTCAATTTTCAGATGCTCTGTAATCATTTCACTAGAGCATCTGTTAGATAGTATGAATCATCATCATCATCACATTTTTGCCTATGTAGTGGGGAACTGGGGCGTGACGTTTACCATCGTTCATACGCATTTCTTTCGCCATGCACGTCCTGGTTGAAGTACTTCCATGAATTCTGTATTTGCTGTTGAATCCACAATTAATTTTGCTTTCTCCACCAGTATATACATCGAATATGCTGCAACCTCTCATTGAGCACCCTCATCCCAACAGGAACAGAGCGGTGTTTTAACTGTAGAATTGAAAGCCTAGAGCATGTTGAATTCCATGGTTTACAACCTTTTGTTGGTAGCCCCTGTTGCATATTAAAGTCCTAAGCATCATTGTAAATTGCTAGCAGTCGAAGGGGCATAATTATAAACAGTCCAGATTTTCATAGTCGTCTTCTTCTTAGATTTAATGGCCTGCAGAAAATGCAGTTACAGTTCAGTTTTACTGTCACTAACAACTACAAAGACCTGGTGACCATCGGAGGTGACTTGAACAAAATGCTGAAAAGGTTTTGTGCTTATTTGAGCTCTCTCCAGAGAGTAAGCCGAATTGGAGTCAGATGGATTACCAATTTTAGATCTTCCCTAATTCCATTCCTTCGACTTGCTTAACTCAAAAAGTGCGGGGGACCCAAATGAAGTTACCCGCCAATCCTTCTTCTTCAACTTCCGATGATTCATAATTCAGTTGGTAAGACTACCCGCACAAACGCCATTCTCGGATTTCTTACTGAAAAATGCAAATCTGTCCACCAGCTCAAACAAGTCCATGCCCACTTCCTCAAACTCTACCTCCCCGAGAACCCATCAAGCATTGCCCCGCTTCTCTCCTTCGCCGCCACCTCCAAGAATCCCGCTTTCTTTTCCTACGCTCGCACTATTTTCCAAAATCTTCAGTACAAGACCACCTTCTTGTACAATACCATGATCAGAGGATATGTTCACTCACATCTGGCGAAACCCGCCATCTCGTGCTATAAAAGCATGCTAAAAGACGGGCTTATTCCGAACAATTACACGTTCACGCCTTTATTTAAGGCGTGTTCCTTGGTTTCGCAGGAGTTTAATCTTGCGGGTTTATTGGTACATTGCCATGTGTTGAAATTATGTCTTGTTTATGACCCATTTATAAGTAGCTCGTTGATTGAATTTTATTCGTCGAGTCTTGAGATGGATAAAGCGCGGATGCTGTTCGATGAAATTCCCCGGAGGGATGTGGTTCTGTGGACTACGATGATTGATGGGTATGGAAAAGTGGGTCAGGTGGAAGAAGCAAGGGCTCTGTTTGAAGAAATGCCCGAGAGAAATGTGATTTCCTGGAGCGCACTAATGGCAGGGTATTCAGGGTCCGGTGATTTTAAGGAAGTGCTTGATTTATACAGGCGTATGGAGGAAGCTGCTGTGAAGCCTAATGAGTCGGTGCTCGTGACTGTCCTTACTGCTTGTGCTCAACTTGGTGCTTTATCACAAGGCTTGTGGGTACACTCATATGCCAGAAGCTGTGGATACGAGGATAACCAAATATTAGCTACTGCTTTGGTTGATATGTACTCAAAATGCGGTTTGGTGGAACTGGCTTCTTCTGTATTTTACGGAATTGTCAACAAAGACAGTGGAGCATGGAATGCTATAATTTCTGGTTTTGCAATGAATGGTTACGCTACCAGATCACTTGAATTATTTGATCACATGGTGCTCGGTGGGACTCAACCTTCTGAGGCCACGTTTGTTGCTGTCATCAGTGCTTGTACACATGCAAGTATGGTTGACAAAGGCCTCTGGTTATTTGGACAAATGAGTAGTGTTTATAAGGTTGAACCAAGGCTTGAGCATTATGCATGTGTGGTTGACCTTTTGGCTAGAGCCGGTAGGTTGGAAGAGGCTGAGGAATTCATTGAAGACAAAATTGGAGGAATTAGCCAAGGTGATGCTAATATCTGGGGTGCTTTACTTGGTGCTTGTAGAATTTATGGCAATACAGCAATGGGGGATAGAATATGGAGAAAACTAGCTAACATGGGAGTAACAGATCATGGGACTCATGTCCTTTCATATAACATTTACAGGCAAGCCGGCAGTGACATGGAAGCAAGAAGAGTTTGGAGACTGATGGAGGACACAGGAATGAAGAAGAAGCCAGGTTGTAGTGCTATAGAGGTCAATGGTTTGATAGAAGAGTTCCGTGCTGGCGCCTTCGTGCATCCCAAAGCACCACAAGTGTGCCAGACGCTTGATTCTTTGTTCAATGTAATGCATCTTGCTAACTGAATTATATACAGGTTTGACATTTTAAGACCATGTACAGTAAGAATGAAGCAATATTGGAGGAAAATTTCAATGATACATTTAACTTACTGTTGTTTTTCGTTCTCTTTATTCTTATCTGTGGATGGGATTATAAATCCAAAGAGAATGCTCATCCGTTGAATCAAATCTCGATTTTAGACGAGTACGTTTAAGAGTGTGTGGATTTTTTTTTTCCCAAAAAAATAGAGGGAGATGCCGGTCCATGACTAAGCATCCTCCTAGCATTTGTTTTTCTAATCATTCTGGCCCATGGTATTAAGTTCCCAGTTGAGAAGGCACCGCATTGAACCTTCATTTGGTGGAAACCCTTAATGGAAGTGTCATAGTACCTATAGCCATAGGGGCTTTTATTGCCTATTCAAGATAACAGATTTTATGTCTATTCAAGATTTGCTTTTGGTATTAAACGAAGTTCTTCATTCAACGTGACAGAACTAAAGGGTGAGGTGGACGCCTGGTTAAAGAACTCTTTTAACTTTTGGGGACCCAGTCGCCAAATCGGAACCAATCTGCAGAACATTTTCAAAGCGTTCTGGCACTTTATGAACTATCAAGAATAAGAATCTTTCAGTAGACGAGATCTTGCACCAGCCATCTATGCTCTCCAAACAGTATCTTCACACATTCTGTGTTCTTCTCCCCCCGTTCAGGAAGTCTCTGAGTAAGTCCAAAGCTCTGGCGTCCTAGTGGACTCAGGATCACGAGTTATTCCATCCGTAAGAACATTACAGTACTCCGATTTGTTAACCAATCAAGACAAAGAAGCAGCTGTTTATATCTTTGACCTACAAATTAATATGTTGAAAGATAAGGGAAGGATGCTTACCATCCCAAACTGTATGACTCTCTACCTATGTCAATTCCTATAACCTTCTGAGCAGTCTCAAAAGCTGTACCCCATTATTTGAAGAACAAGGAAATTTTATCAGCCGTTGAATTACTTCAATGGCGATGCACTCTCCAAAGATTTGCTTGGTTCTGGGGCTAGATGCAATGCTTCACATCAAAATCTTTATCAGCTAACAAACTGTTTATCAGATTTTTGAATCTTTCTGCACCAGGCCCAGGCCTAAGGGTAGTTATATTTCTAATAATATACCGAAGATCAGTTCTATTTGTCCCACCATCAAACCAACTGCCTGGGACGAAGCCATTTGCTTTACGGCCCAAAAGCTCGGAATCAATCCTTCCAAGAACAGCTACATCTCTGCCAAATTTTCGGGCAAAAGGAGCATTGCTGTCTACCATTCTCTGGTAATCATTGTCTGTGAGGAAATGAGGGTGCTGCTTTGGAGGGTTGTCCCAGGATATGAAATGGAGGTCATGATTAACTGTGGTATTTCGAAACTCTTTTGCATTACAGATCACTGTGTGAAAATATCCCTCTGGTGAAGAAAGAAAGTTGGCATAGTACATTAAGACTATCCTAGGTAGGTTATCCCAACCCCAAATGCAGTACTCGATGAAAGGGCGAGACAGCATCATCCAAGCAGAACCTGATTGCAAAAGCCATGTTAAAAGCCAGGAAGGTTATCAATATTGGCATATTAAAAGTATATCTAGAAAATCGAATAATCATCAGGTTATGAATAACGACAACACTTGCTCCTGTACCCCAGATGGGAGCTACCATTTAGGGTATCAAAAACGTCAGAAATGCCTGTTCAATTTCAAACTTCCACTTGCAGGAGAGTACCAAAAACAATCTAGCTCTTTACGACTAGCTATTTCCTAAATTATCTGTCAAAGAAATTAATTGCACATTAGGTCAAATTATTGGAGATTACCCAAAACCGAGAAAATAAAACACCCATAATATGTTAGATTCCTCAAAAAAAGCAGTTCTTAAAGACGCTAATGGTAACTGCGGTAATGGTCTAAAATTGTATGCTCAAATTACTGCTCTACTGGAAATAAAACGTTACTACTGCATGAACAAATAGGAAACCCCACACATATTCTGGCAGTGATAATGTCATGGAAAAAAAAAAGATATACAAGGAACATACGAAATTTGACTGATCTTCCCAACTAAGCATTCAGGTAAAGAAATTTATATTACTCAAAACTCAGATTGACATCTAAATCTATCTGAGCATCTGACTTTAACTATACCATCGACAAACAAATATTCCTGCCTCATGGATATGCATTCTGTTTGACCGTTACTCAACACTGGGTTTGATAGAGAAGCTTGTAGGTAGCGCAACATTGTCACTTCTACCAAGATTTCCATGCCTTGCCAACTATTTGGACAACCAACACTTGTACATTCAGTCAGCTCCTTGTGTGATAATCACCTTTACCTTTCAAGATTCAGAAAACATATGGCAGTTTCTTTTTTTCAAGGACCTCATAAGAGAAATGAAACAGGATGGAAAGGGTGCAATAACCGGAGCAGCCCCGCCGAAATCAGAATGAATGATTAACTTAGTCAGAAAATCAGAGAGTCATCAAAACATAGACTTGTTTGAACTCAAGTGATCTTTGGACGAAGTGAATCCTTTTTTCAGAAGAAATCATTTACATTTACTTCAAGCAGGATGTTATTAATGTTTGAATGTCGTTAATGTTTACATCCGTTACTTGGTGTGAGCTCAAAATCACAGGGAAGAACAACAATAACATATGCAAAAATATTATGAAGATGTTTACCAGTAAAGAGTTTGAATGCTGTAGGCACGCTCCTTTTCTGTGTGACCCAAAAGACATCTGATTTTTTCAGGCTATAGAGTCCCGGATCAATTATAACAGGCTTCGCCCTTTGATACCTAGAAGATCAAAAGCTGCAGTATTTGAAGGGGAAAAATATAGCCTAACATGCTACACTATGAATAGTTTTTATCTGAAATATGTAAAACTATTAAGCTCTTCTTGTACAGATCAAGAGAGAATGTGAATACTTACTCCTTCCAACCAATGTCGCTTGTGTGCTCAATAAAATTAAGTTCTCTAGGAACAGCAGATAAAGTGTGAAGTATATCTGTTCGCATAGGTGATGGCAAATACACAAAGCAAACCGCGTCAGCATGCATTCCATACTTTCATTTGTAGTTAATTCTAAGAATGAGAATAAATAACGGCTTAAATTCAGTTTAGACATTTCAGTTGTAACAGCATCCTATTAGCAAAAACTGAATCTTGTTATGTACTAAAAATTAACCACCTTAAGCAGCATGGACTAATGTTACAGATATAGAACAAAGGAGAATACAATTTAAAATTCGTGACAACGAGGTAATAATTTAGAATGCATTGAAACGCCAAGCAGAACATCAAGAGACAGTAAAGAAAATGAAGTTCCAACTGCAGGTAAAACATTCACACATCCATTTGAAGAAATAGAAAGCAACTGGTAATTGCATCCACTGCTTCAACCTTAAAAAAATAAATAAATAAATAAGAAACCCCAGGAGAATTATATGATCCGAAAAAGAACCTATGATCATGAGACAGAATTAGCATGTCCTATCAACTGGTTAATCAAGAATTAAGCCAGAGCACATACCGCAGAAACAAGAGCCAACCCACAATTTATCGGGGAAAGGAATTCACAGGTTAGTAAAAGCAATACTCGTATATAATAGCAACAAGTATTTCATACCATCTTGGGTGAGCAGAGGATAATCTGAAGCACTCAAATTGATAAACCAGTCCCAATCTCCGCCTTCTTTCAACAAAATAGCAGCAGCATGAAGGGTATTAGCAACCATAGTAGGCCCTCTATAAGTCACTAAATTGGATCTCACAATTACCCTCACATTCCCAGCTTCCTCAAATAAAGATTCATTCTTTACAAAATTCACCAGCTCCAGTCTCTCCTCAACGGAAGCCTCAAGGTCCAAATGCACCACATACTGATTCAACGGGTGATAAAGGGCCATAAGCGTCCTCTTCAAGCTCTCACCATCACCGCTAGAACCAGAGATCAAATAAGCCAGTCTTGGAATTCTTGAAAAGGGCTGAGTCGGAGCTACATGCAACTTTGATTCAACAAAGACTGGAACTTCATCTTTGATGTTCTTGGATCTTTGCTCAAAAGGGTTGGCACGAAGAACAGAAACAATGGTAAGACAACATGAGATTGAAATTGAGAACATGAGAGGAAGAGCCCATTTTTTGCTTTTCAATGGTTTATTAGTCTCCATTAAAGGAATGGCTGCTGCTGGCTCGTGCTACTTTCCCATTTAGCTGCCTGCAGACGCTGTTCTGTGTGTCAAAGTAAAGTAAAGGGAACAAGTGGGAAGGTGATCGATGTTGGTTGCGTTAATTACACCGCTGGTCACGGAATTTATGGATATCGCTGATTTAACTTTCCAACGCATTTAAGAGTGGAAATGATCTGAGAAATTCCTAGTGCTGACTTCTCTACGGCACTGACGACTCTCTCTTTTTTTTTTTCTCTCTCTCTTTACTGCACTGACGACTGGTGGGAAATGATACTGGTGGCCTCTGAGTTTTGTTGGGACTTTGTGGTGAGACTGCGCGGACTAATGACGGAATTTCCAGTCTTGTGGAGGGGAGTAGAATATTACTACCAACAAACATTTGTGGTTGCTTTCCACGCGCGGCCATCCTGCCCATTAAATAGGTGTTATGTGACAGTAGTGTAACTTGAGCAATTTAATTCGTCCACAAAACTAGTGAGTATCTATTCCTTAACAAGAATTTGTCAAAAAAAAATCAATTAACTACACCCCGGACCCGTAAATTTTTTTCTAAAAATTTGAGTTTGGTTCTTGTAACGCAAATGACTGTTTTATTTAATGTTTAAACCTTTAAGCTGATAATCAAAAAAGTGCTTTTTTTCTTCTTTGCTTTTTTCCTTTTGGGAGGGTTTGGTGGTGGGGGTGATTTTTGATGGAAGTTAAAAAACTATTTTGTGTAATTGACAATATGTCTCAATGTTCTTGGTTGTTAGTTGGCGACTTAAAATGAGAAGCGAGACTTAGAGATCTTTAACTTGACTTATCGGCCTTGTACTAAACTTTTTGCCGACAATTGTGTGTTTCAGTTGCTTAAGAAA